GGCCGGGGGCGGCGGTAGGGGTCGTTCAGGGGAGGGCGGGGCGGCGAGGCGGCACGGGAGCACCGCCGGCCGCGGGTGGCGAGGGTCGGTGGTTAGGCTGATAGTGGCTGACGGCTCAAGGAAGGAGATGCGCCGAGAGGTTGAAGAAAGACCGTGGGCCGTTGATTTCACATTCAACAGTTCGCAGAATCGATTGACCCCAATTTTTTTCAGCTGACTGAAGTCTAGACCCGCCCATTCACATCAACACACAATAGTGCAACAACGTTCTTTATGAGGAATGGTTCAGCAATACCTTCGTTTTGCTTTCAAAAAGAAATATTATTGACGTGTGTCATGAAATGTAGTTTCACATAGTCAAACTTGAAATATAGGGGAAATAAGTTTTACGTAATTACTTTTCAGCTTTCCATTTTACTCCTTTTACCACCATTAAGTCGGTCTTTCTTCAAAAATATATATTTCTTTTTCTGTCATAATCTCATTTTTTTACTGGTTTCATAATCGATACTTTAGTCTTGTGCACTCGAGATCACTCTGTTCAACTTATGACATTATTTTAAGAAAGTAAATAAACTTTCAAGACAAAATTTTATATGGATTGTTTAGACATTTCTCTCTATTGTCATCAGTGTTGACATATACTCTTTCCTATGGAGTAAAAGGGAGAAATGCTTCCGTGGATGCATTCAAAGGGTAAACTGATATGTAGTAGTATACTGTACTACTAATAACTCGCTAAAAAAGTACAGCAGTATACTGTACTACTGTAGGTTGCCAGCCTCGGTATGTATACTGTATCGAGATACTTCTATCATGTACTGGAATTCACAACGTCACCAGTTCACAACATGTAGCGGGGTCCTCACGTGAAAGTTCGGAAGCATGCCTTGGCGACAGGTAGCCAGTAGTAACTTGCTGCAGCTACACAATCCTGCTCCCTCTCTTTGGCTACGTGAGTTGAGGCCTTGTCATGTGCCAGCATCTCGCCCTATAAAATGAATAATTCAAGTGGGCCTAGATTTCTCTAGAGTAAAGTACGACCACATAGCCAACGCTGTTGATGCGAATCCCTTCGCTCTAGGCCATTGGATTTACATTCATCAACGGCTGAGATTGCTTCTTAGGCTTAGGGTTCAAATTTTCAAAACTCGTACACTATATAGATAGTATAGATAAATTGCACTTTTCATTGAAGGAAATAAATTTCCAGGGAGATGACAAAGTTGGCTGGTGCGTAGGTTTCACTTTTACACCTCAATTGCACCTTTTCACCGGCAACTACGACCAACCAACGCGGCAACGCCGAAAACTAGAAACACCTTTCTTGATACAGCTAAGACTCAATGTGCAGGTAGTTGGTAAGCAGGATCATGACAAGGTAGGTGTCCAAATGTGTCGGTGGGAACAAATATTATATTCTTATGTTCTAGATAAATAAATTACTACAAGATGGTGTCGTGGTGGTTTTATTTTTAGATTTGTGTGAAAAAATTGTAAAGTCTATTTTCTTGCAGTGACAAATTTGCAAAACAGACTGATAAAAACATTTTTCTCAAACGTTCAGCCGTCCGTTTTTTGTCCGCCTGCCATCCATTTTCTATTCAAGTTTGGGCCGGGTTTGCATGGGAGCGCGTGGACACTGTGACGCCCGCCCATCGGTGGCACATCCATCTATTCTCCCCATGCCCTCCACACCCAACACCTCCATCCACGCCCCCGCCTCCCATTTCAGGCCGCATAGACGCTGCCCAGGCTACCGCTCGCTTCCACACACTTCCTCCACCTCGAGGCCGCATCGGATGCCCGCTCTTGTTGGTGTTTGTGGTCTCTTTTTGTCGTCGTCGTAGTACCTTTTACGACCAGTCCACCACATTGACTCCGTTGCCACCTGCCTAGCTCCAACCCGCGGGCCTCACTCCACGGCAGTCTCCACTTCGACATGCCTGCTGCCTATGCGGGGGAGAGGCGCGTGGCTCTTCATCGTCCGGCTTCTCCACCATGACTGCAAGGTGTTCGACATTTTGGCCGCAATGTACCATGGATAGTGGGGATGAGTTCTTTTTCAACAACTTCATGTGTTCATCGATGATGAGTAATTTGTGGTTGCGGCAACGTTTGAACAATTCACCCAATTTGGTTGAACATATGTAGACTCACCTTGGCAACCAATATAGTTGTATCGACTCCTTTTATTTTCAATGTATTTCTGACAATTTAAATTTCATTTTGTTTGTAGACTATGATATTTTTGTTTGGTCATCATAAACTATGTGATTTAAACTATGGCAACGGTGTTGTTTGGGGCCATGGCAGCGTCAACGGCTGACCGGTCTGGCAAGGATGATGTGGATCTCTTTTCTTTGGATGGGTCAGCGGTTCAATGGTGGTAAAGTCTTATGAAGCGTGTGCATTCGGAGTACGCTTTGGGTTTGCTGTATCGGGTGTATATCCTGATACATCATGCGGGCGGATCAACGGTGATCCCGGTTCGAGATGGTGGAGATCAATGGCATTCCCCATATCGAGTTTGTAGTTGTGAGTGTGGACTTCAAGTTATTTGTTGTATGTTCTTGTCAGACCTTTGTTGAATAATTAAATAAAGATGGTTGCGTGCTTCTATTGAAGTAGAGACGGAGTTTCAACCTCCTTTTAAAAGAAAACTAGCAAATGATGACAATTTAATCAGCGGTCCTCTAGCACCCTAGCTTTTTTTCTTCCTTTCTCAAATTACGTCGAAATAGTTTTTCTTTGGACATGTTAATTGTGTACATCTAGTTATGCAGAGGCGGATTTGGACTAGAAAATTATGCATCACTTTAACGTGATGATTGATGAAATTCTCTTTGCTTAAAAACAAAATACATTAATTAGGCAAGTGGTAGAAGCTTTATGCCATTCTTCTAGCATCCAGTGCAGCAAATGGCCCCTTGAACATCTTTCCTGGACCATTCCAGGGCCATCTTGATAAGCCATTCTGGAAGCTGAGCTCAAAGATAAGCATTATTCCGTCTTCCACTCGCTCAAGTCACTGGCACTTTTGCTTAGCACCAAATGCCTTGTATCTCTGGCCAATCATTGCAACAGATGGCACAGGATAAAAAAGAGGATTGGTATACCCCGCGGTATTCAGACCACAAGTGATGCCTTTGGATTTCTTTCATCTGCCAACTCAAATCATAAGATCTAGAAGATGTACTTTGTAGAGAACGCGGTATTCAG